TCGAAAATTTCTTCCCTAGAGTAAATCTGACATGCTTGAACCTACCGTGGTTTGGGGCGTTGCAAACCAACGGGATAACTCTGTATTTGTTTTATTAAAGTGGGGGATCATATGATGCGTCGTGGAGATGGATTTCTCTGGAATCACCCTCACTCCCTGCCTACCAGGGTTTGAGCGTAATAGTCGATAGAACCACAAGCGCCGTCTATACGTACCACGCGCCTACTCTGGCCACGGACGTGAAAACTAGTTCGTCTTGCACTGCGGAGGAGGACTTTAGGGGTGAAAAGGACCTCTGTGTGCGAATTTTACCACGAACAAACGTGAATCAAGATCGCTCCCAAGCTCTTCCTGTTGATTCCTATGGGTTTGGCGTAAACAGCATTAAGCCAAGACCCGGAAGACCCTGTGAGGGCCTTCAACAGACAGTTTTCCAAAACGGGTCAGACTAGAGTATAATCTACCTGCCCTGGCATATAAGTGAGGCATTAAACGCAGATAGTTGAGACCTTCGGGGGAGATAGTTCCAATTCCCGTTTTTTTTTTACCAAACACAACTTCCGGTACGAGTTTCCTACTACCAACAGCTAGCCATTACTAAGCAGCAGACATAGTTAGCGACAAGGCGGGGTTAAAACTCTGAGATTTTGGTGAGCAAGACGACGCCCTTCGCAACAAGCTACCGAACAACCGAGAAAATGGAAACCCGGCTGCTAGGAAAGTTGACTCAGAAGCGAAGCAACTGAAATATGAAGCAATATGAAGTCTTTGGGAGAACTATCAGCCAATAGAGATTTACCTGAAGGGATAGTTGTCGACCTATTTACTTTACGACATTCCATTATCATAGGTCAGTGTTACAGCGTAGACGTTCAAAATCACTTCTGAATGCGGAACGTTATATATAACATACTACTTAAATGTCAAAGGTAGACATGCAATATAGCTTGGGAGAATGCTCGAGGTGCCTAAACAGACAGTTTGCCAAACCGAACCAGGCTTTGAGCACCCCAAAGGAGTTAGGCCCACACAAAAATAGCACGCTCAGGCCGAAAGCTCACCTTGTATGCATAACCCTGGTTTACAAGAAAGCGCTGACGTTTGAGTGCGTATTGCATCTCCATGGTGTCCTGTGAGACAAGCGAGTAGAAGAAGGCATTGTAGGCTTCGGCATCCATGCCACGCTTGGCACGCAGGATTCGACCCAGTCGCTGGGCCTCCTGCCGCCGACTGCCACCGTG